TTCGTGTATTTAGTGTATTCTTAGTTTCGTGTATTTAGTGTATTCTTTGTTTCATGTATTTAGTGTATTCTTAGTTTAGTGTATTTAGTGTATTCTTAGTTTATGTATTCTTAGTTTAGTGTATTTAGTGTATTCGAAGTTTCGTGTATTTAGTGTATTCTTAGTTTTGTGTATTTAGTGTATTATTAGTTTAGTGTATTTAGTGTATTATTAGTTTAGTGTATTTAGTGTATTCTTAGTTTTGTGTATTTAGTGTATTATTAGTTTCGTGTATTTAGTGTATTCTTAGTTTAGTGTATTCTTAGTTTAGTGTATTTCTAAGTTCAGGTCTTGGATCTTACTACTGTTTTTCTTTACATTTTGTATTTTTGTTGACTGTAACTGGGACCCTGTGTACATAGTTTTGTTCCACCTCATGCACCACATGTGATGTGAATTACAGTAAAGAACCTTGAATCCTTTAACGGGTTGTTAAACATCTACATTTACCTACATTTGTAAACATTTGATTCAATAACTATTTTAGAGAGCAACAAGAAGTAGCCTGACCAACAGCTCTCCTTGTGTGAATAGAGCATGCTCCTCTTCTTTTATGCATCTTAACACTCGAGTGGACAACTGCCAGCACTAGTGCTAGCTACAGACGTAGCTATAATAAGGGTGGGCGGATCGATTCAAATATCAATAACATCGATATCAACATGGGTATTGATATTGACATAGATATCATATAAACACTAGATACAGCATTGACCGCTATCGCCTATTGGCGCTGACGAGCCGTAGGGCTGCCATCTTGGAACGGTCGACCGCTCCACTCAGTGTAACCTGTTTGTCAGGAGCAATGAAGTATCTGCGCGTTTAACCAGTCAGAGCTGAATACTAAACTCATTCTCACAATTTTTTTTCCTCTGTAAATCTTAGACGTACAGCCATTAAAGCTGAACACATGGTTCAGTGTATTTAAATATTCTTGGTGGGGTTAACATTAACACTAATAAAATATTCTTATGACAAGTTTTGCAAAACTCACAGTCACTGATACATTTTTATTAATATCTCTCTCTATATATATATAATATCTATCTCACTGTCATATGTACACAGTTTAATAATTTACTTATATGCACACATTATAATATCACAATCTTATATATACATTATATCTATTTTATATATACACATACATGTATGTATACATAGATTTATACATATACATACATACATACATGTATGTATGTATATGTATAATGAATGAATATTATACAACAAACAAATTGTCAGTGTGTACAATAATTGTACATTGAAGCATAAAGAAAGTTTATTGTACGGAAAATACATTTTATGGATGATAAAAAACAGCAAGCACAGAAAACTCAATCAGCGAATGTAAAGAGGTTCAACAGACGTCTCCGGCCACGCCAACTCTACATACGAGTCAGGAGAATGACTTCTTTAGTGATTACAATTTCACTGAATTGTTTAGTTATAGTGTAGGAGCTGGTGTGTTCTCTTCCAACACCTGAAGGCACCACGGGGCTGTTCCCACTGAGGCCACGAGAGGGGAACAGAAGCCCACACATGAGCAGAGGAGCTCCCTCACAAGCTGCTGAAGGTTGAAACCACACAAACATGGAGGTTTGTGCCAGTTCCTGAAGGAGGTTTGAAACATGATGATTGTTAATCCACGGTGGTGATCCACTATGATGTCTGCAGTTTACACAACTCTACATCCGACTGAGCATGAAAGTAAATGGTTTATATTATACAAAGTTAACAACCGTCTCGTCTTCACGCTGCAACAACTGGTCTCCTCAGTTCCTAGATGTTTGCGACAGAAGAAGAAGAGGTGCACTTCACAGTGGGAGACATGGACCTGCAACAACTTTTATACGCCTGTCCCAAGACAGGACGCAGACTGGTGACATCGTCCGTTTGTGGACAACGTCTCGTCCGAGCTCTGATAACCCTTTCACAAACATCAAGCTGCACAGATGAACACCTCCTAGGTCATGTGGGTCAAAGGTCACAGGCGACCCCGTTGGTTAAACCATGTCTCTGCTCCAGCGTGACCTCCCAGTACCACAGCAGTGTCAAACCCTTTGTCCCCTAGATTGTCCCTCTCTGTCCCTCCATAAGACAGTCCACAGTGAGTTGTCCATGGTGAAAGTACACAAATGTTTCGGACAGAAAGTGTCCTCAGACAGTCTCCACATCAGGATTTTATTTTTATTGCATTAACGCCATGAACGATTATGGCCATCCTCAGTCAAGCTGACCTTTGACCCCTCCACGGTCATGTAGGATTAGACACATCTATTCAGGAGTGTTGTGAGAGACTCATGCTCTGGATTTGAATTACTCTGACTCTTTACTGACGGACTGTTCGAGCTCCTAGTTAATTTTATTTATTTGTTTATTTTAGATGTATTGTTGCCATCAAATCAAAAATTACTTACATTTTTCCATAATTGTGTATATTTTCTTAGTTTACACACTTGATCCATTTACTACGTTCCATTGTGGATAAAATATGGGTCTTGTCTGCCTTGGCTGTAACTGAGGCTCAGCTGTTTTACCTTAAATGTGTTAAAAATAGAACTGACTGAGTGAAAAGTCAAACAGAACGATGGTCGAACTTCTCCAGGACAGCTCAGGGTGATAAAACAGCTTGACTTTGCTGAAAGTAACACATTTTTAAACCCGTCTGTTTGATTACGGTTTGGTTTAATATTTGCTGTCTGAGCTGAAGGATGATGATGAAGAGGAGGACATTCCACAGACGGAAGGAGACGGATGAACGAGGTCACTCCATGTAAGGAGTAATAAAGGGGCAAAAACAATTGGACCTCTTTTTGTCTGAGATGCCCCTGAGCCCAATAATGGATATCTTTGATAACTCACGACTGTGGGAATTTAATATCCTGCTGTCTCTCGTTGAGTGGAGGGGGATGCTGATTGGGTTCTGTCTGATTGACTTTAAAGATGGCCGACGATGGAGCAGAGGAACATTAATGGGTTTCTCACTTTGCAATTTAGAGTTTTATATTATCGGAGAAAGGGCCTTTAAGAGGCTATAACACGTAAAGTGTCTCTGGGTGCGCTCAGACAATGTGAGCGAGCCCAGGAGAGCCGAGGAGGAAATGGGCCGTGCTGAGGAGAGACATTCATCCAGGAGTAAATCACTGCCGGAGAAAGGTGCTGCCACTTCCTGTGTTGATGGATGAAATGATTAAAACATTAACGTTTTGTAAAAGTGTGTTTTAAAACAATCAATCTTTCAGAT